GCGCCCCTGGTGGTGGGAGAAAACTTTGCACACTTCCCCCACCCCCAGTCACTCAGGGCCTGGGTGTGGAGGGAGCATGCAAAGTCTCTCACTCCCTGCAAGAGATGCGCAGTGCTTAGAGTGGACCAGACTAAGTGCTGTGCACCCCTTACAGGGCGGGGGCAGGGAGCGAGAGACTTTGCATGCTCCCCGTGTCCCCAGGTCCTGATTGGCCTGGGGACAGGGGAGTAGCAGGGCATCTGTGGGCTAGATCCACCCACTTGGTGGCCGAATCGGGCCTGTGGAGGACCCTTTGCCTACCCCTGACCTACAAGGTAAGACTGAAAAATTGGGTTTGGTTAGCCTGGAAAAGGAGACAGGAAAACTGGTTTCTAGTACATAAAAGCTTGTAACAAGGAGGAGGAAGAACATCTGTTAAACTCTGAGGATAGGACAAGAAGCAATGAGCTTAAATTGCAGCAAGGGAAGTTTAGGTTGGAATCAGACAGTAGGAAAAAATCCTAGCTGTCAGGGTGGTTAGGCACTGGAATAAATTGCCTACAATGGTTGCAGAATGCCCATCATTGGAGATTGTTAAGAGCAGGTTGGTCTAGATAATACTTAGTTCTGCCTTGAGTGCAGGGGTGGGACTAGACGACCTCTTGACATCTCTGTCAGTCATTTGATTCCATGCAGGGTATACAGCTGTCACTACAACTGCATATCAGCATTTGCTTTGTGTAAGACTCCTCAGTTTTTATTTTGATACAAGACAATATGATTTCAACAAGACAATGTTTCATTTGTTTCTGATGGATAAGCATGGACAATAAAAAAGCAACTAAAGAAAATTTTATAGCAATCCATAGGTATGCACCTGGTCTCACTATTCAGAGTTAACTACACACAACAGGAAAACAACTTTACTTTCGGATCAAAGCACCACTGTCTTCCAACTTGCCTGAGGAGCACCTCAGACAATGGAAACAGATAACTGCTTTAATAATGAAACTGAAATAACTCTCCTTACATGCCCCTCTCTAAAGCTAGTTAGAGGCATCAGTCCTCTGCAAAACCAACAGATTAAAGCAAGTGTAAAGCTATGAAAAGCTCTCTCACATTATTGGATTTTAGTGTGAGCTGGCAGATCACTGTTGCACACAGTGTGTTTGCCCCAAATTCTGTGTAAGGTAGGTCATGTGAGGTATCAAATGAAAGCTTATGCTATGCTACTTCTGTTTAAGGAGCTCATATACATGATTTTTGTGTGTAAAGTTATGAATATGGGCTCTGTACTTATATTTTTACATGTTTTCTGACTGGGAGACAGCAGTAGGCACTGACCACCTATTGTGAGGGGTGGTGGGGCGTCCCAATCAATAGTGAATGCTGCATGGCTAAAGGCTCTTAAGTGTTGCCAATTGACACCTGAGGAGAACACAATGGCCCTTTACCTGAGAAGGACACACTTGGATACTCCATTGCTCCTTGCATAAAAAAGGACAGACTGGTTTGGTGGTCATGTGATCAGCCCCATTTTGGGAGGAACCAGCACCCAGGAGAACAATGGATTTTCCCTCTGCATGCGCAAGTTTATAAAAGTACCCTGAGAATGCCTCCATTTTGTCTTCACTCCTGCCCTCCACTCCAGAAGCACCTTTGCCAAGGATAGAGGGCCCAGAAGGATTTGTGGGCCCATCCTGACATAGGATGTACTCCAGAGACTTGTAAGCTAGCAGTTTGTTACATCTCGACTAAGAGCCTGCATCAAGACTTGGTGTCTGATGTGTAATTTATTCTCTTTAATATCTGAGGGTATGTCTACACTACCCCCCTAGTTCGAACTAGGGGAGTAATGTATGCATACCGACCTTGCTAATGAAGCCCGGGAAATTCAAATCCCGGGCTTCATTAGCAAGGTCGGTATGCATACATTACTCCCCTAGTTCGAACTAGGGGAGTAATGTATGCATACCGACCTTGCTAATGAAGCCCGGGAAATTCAAATCCCGGGCTTCATTAGCAAGGTCGGTATGCATACATTACTCCCCTAGTTCGAACTAGGGGAGTAATGTATGCATACCGACCTTGCTAATGAAGCCCGGGAAATTCAAATCCCGGGCTTCATTAGCAAGGTCGGTATGCATACATTACTCCCCTAGTTCGACCTAGGGGGTTAGTGTAGACATACCCTGACTCTCAATCCTTTTCTTAATAAACTTTTAGATTTTAGATTCTGAAGGACTGGTACAGCTTGCTCTTTTGGGTAAGATCTGAGGTATAAATTGACCTGGGACTGTGGCTGATCCTTTGGAGCCTGGAGAACCTGTTTGGAGCTGGTGTGATTGGTTTTTATAACCTCTCATCTGTGCAAATTGTGGTGCTGGTTGTGGCACAGAGAACATTGAGACATCTAAGGGGATTTGCTTGTGAGGCTTCTTGCTGGTCAGAGTGGCAGCCGAAGTGCTCTGTGTGACTGGTTTGGCACCTTATAGGGAAGAATCCCTGTAAGAAGCCCTGGTTCTGAGCATTTCACCCTGATTTGGCCCTCTCAGCGGTGCCCAGACCAACCTGGTATATTACAAACTCCCAAAACATGTTCCCAGTAAAATCACCTCACTTTAAAGTCCTGATCTCTCCCAAATGGCTTGCTTGATTTACTATGCCTTACTGATATGAGAGCACATCTGTGAAAGTGTCAGGTGCATGGGTTTAGCTCTGGTGAAGCTGCAGAATGATCAAAATTGGTGTTTATAATAGAAGGTTAACTTCAAGCTGGCTATTGGTAGTAGTATTATCAGAGAGCTTAAGAGCCCTAGTAATTGGACCAAGAATCCATTTTGCTCTGCTTTGTGTTTACACATTGCAGTTATTTATTGCACAAGCGTGATCATATTTGTCTCACTTCTTACCTAAGCTCTCAGAAGTCAACTGTCTTACCTGGCATCAGTTTTAGCACTTAAAGTCTATAATATACAGTGCTCGTCTGTGTCTGTTTTGGGGGGTGAATGGAAGGTTTAATCACAACTTCATCAAGAAAGTGCCATTTCTATTCCAGGCAGCAGGCCCATTGGCAATAATAAACAAAACTGAAACCAATGAAAAAGGGTAAGAAAATACTTAAAATGCATTAATTAAAGGATACAGAAATATAAACAATATATACTATTATTACTGAAGAACGTTCAGCACTGATAATGCGCTGTAGCTTAGTGTGCACAAAGTAGTAAATCAATGCAATTAAAATAGAAGTAGTCCTACGTGATAGGAAAACAGGCACAGTGACAAACTGTTACTTGAGTGGGGGAAAAAAATCAGATTTATAAGGAGACGGAATCCTACCAGGCCTCACACAGAATCTGAAAATGTTAATGCTACCTTAAGCTGTATTAGCTTTTCCATGGGCCTCTGCCATAACAAAGGGAGATGTGAGGGCTACTTTGGCAGCAGGGATTTAATGTTGTTGTGCTGCTATGAACCAGTGGGGTGAGCTGGAGGGTTCCAGATGCAGAACAGAAACACAGAATGTGGAAGCCTCCAGGTTGCTAGAGGATCCAGAAGTCCTGGGGAAATGCCAGTCCCTATTGGTATCCCTGGAGTCTAACCTTCTCCTGCCCTCTCCCTCCCCTAAATGAAATCCATCGAGGAAAATTCCATGAGGGGAAATCAGTAGTTTCTCTGCTCAAGAATCCTCCCCAAAAGTTTTTCCCCTGGGCACTGTGATCTGGACCCACAGGTTTTTCATAGGAGTTGCTATTGCAAATGAATGGTAGCAGGGGGAATCCCACCTTCCAATTTCATCTGAGACACTAACTCTCTCAGTGTGTGACCTTCCAGCAGTGTCTTGACCTCCCTGAGCAGCAGTTAGCCCAGCTACTGCATTTCTCTGAGTAAATATACACATAATACATACATGTGCATCTCTATGGGATAATGACATTTATATTTATTTCATGAAAGGAATGTATGTCCTTAGCAGAGTGGTTAGTTTGTACTGGCTTTGTCACTTAAGATTTTTGTTTGTTTCATCATAGCAGTACTTTGTACCCATTCATTTCTGATACAAAACATCAGTATGTACAATAATTACAATGAAAGCCTCTTCATCTAGTAACAATAAATTAAAACCGCTATATCCGGAGTGTTTTAAGCCCACCCCAGCACCTCTAAGCCACCAGAGACATCTCCTTCTCCTTTTAAATAAATGACCCTTTAATTGCAACAGACAAGAGCATCATAGCGGTCCTGTATCTAATAGGAACAAAACTATTTTGCACAGCTTAATTATTGCTATAATTGTATTTCAGGGAAATGCATTTGTGCTGATAAGTTTACATGCTGTTGAAACACTGGTGGGGGGTAAACAAACAGTTTCAAGAGGATTTTTATCTTGGAGTGTAATAATCATTATTCTTCATCTAAACTACTGTGGTCAATGTACATAATAGCGCGGCTGCTTTCCCGTTTTATTGCAAACGTAAATAGAATAATGAAAATTAATTTGTGCACCAGACCCTCTCAGAAGAAAGTGCAATATGCGATCTGAATTCTTTCGCAAAGCATTCCTCAAGTGCCAAGTAGATTAAAAAAACAAACAAAAAATCTGTATTCGAACGGCGGCCCCCTCCCACATTTAAGCTGCTATTCCCATGGGCCCATTACTAAATATAGATCCTGCTCTTCAGATTGACAGGAGAGTTCCTGTGGTGTGAGCCAGGCTTGCAATCTTTGCTTCCCACTCCTAATATGGTAGAGCCTCCCAGCCAATCAGACATTTGCGGAGGCTTCTAGTGAGTAAACTGGGTTTGCAGTTCTGTACCTCCCCCACTGCCACCATCAAATTAACTACTTAACAGGAAACAGAACAGCAGCAGCCGAACAGAGGCTCTGGCTTAGCCTTTTGTTGTCTTGGTCCCACATCCTCTGCCCTGTCTGTGCAGCTGATTAATTTCTCACTTGTGTGAAGAATTGTGCTATGCGGGACGACATGAAATACTAATTCATTTTTTTTCTTTTTACAGTAGCAAACAAGGATGCAGATTTATCTGGTTATAGGGAGAAGAGAAGAAATGCTGACAGACTGTTAGGCATGAAATGTTTTTAGCAGACATCTAAAAGCAAAAGAAGAGTCACGCACATTCACATATAGACACACACACACGCTCCGCCTTCCTATTTTTTTGAAGGAGACAAGTCAGTAAGTGGCTATTTCAGAGACAGCAATAGTTATTTCATCTGTGTCTATCTGCCCTTTTTGAATCATTTTTTTCAAAGTCTCTCCTACTTTCCCAGCTGGAGTCCATGAAGTCAGTAATCCAGGAAATCAGTAGATAGTGAATTCCTATAGGCAGGGCTCTGCATGGAACCTTCTTAAGCAGGAATTTATCTTTGTACAGAGAGACAGCAAGACTTATGCACCACTTAGGTCTTACTTAAAAGCTTAAATAAAACTTAAATGGTGCACTGGCCTTTTGCGGGCCTCTCTGAATTTCATGCACATTTGTCCTTCACCTCATCTCTACCCTCCACTTCCCCCGTGAATATCTTCACCATAAACTCAGCCCTACAAAATCCCAAGCAGCTCCTATCACTGCACATTCTCACCTCCCTTTGACACAGTGCAGGATCAAGTGCTAGAAGTGAACATTCACTGTAAATGACCCTGCAGTATGCTCATTGCAATACACTGGTATTTTCAGTCCAAATTCATACTATAGCTAACTAGGAACAGAGCTGGGGATAGAAGCCAAATATCCCAAGTCATAATCTCATGCTGTAGCTACTATATGAAGCTACTTCCCTTAAAGGAGATTTTTGGCACTTTCTGAGGAATCTCTTTGAATTTTTTTTCCTTGCAATTTTAACATAATTTATATAAGATTCTGGTGTTTCAGTTTTTATCTCAATGGATATGTAAGCTCCTTTAACCCCATTAGGTCAAGGCAGACAAACATCCTGCAGGGATTTCTTGCAGTATATTAAGACACAAATGAAGCTTGCAGCAGAATTTGCAGTTTCTTTTTATTTCATTTCAGCTATCAGTGATACATGAGGCTAGATGAAACCGGCAGTGAATGCATGTTTCCTATTGCTGAGGCTCAGCCAGTCCTGAAAGCAATATACACGTAGAGGCCAGGATTTTAAAAGCACCTGTGAGGCATCCAAATCCCATTGAATTTCATCTCCTTTAAAGACTCCAGCTGTAGCGATTAATTTGCAAGCACCAATAAAAGAAACTTCTGATGGTCAACTCTGTGCCATACAGAGAAAAATAGCTCCACAACTTGGGACCTACCCCAGGACATGCTGTATCCACAATCCTCAAAAGTGCACACCTAGGGTATGTCTACACTACCTCCCTAGTTCGAACTAGGGTGGTTAATGTAGTCAATCTAAGTTGCAAATGAAGCCCGGGTTATTTCAATCCCGGGCTTCATTTGCATCTTGCAGGGCACTGCCATTTTTAAATCCCCGGTAGTTCGGACTCTGTCCCCGCAGCTATACGCGGCACGGAGTAGGTAGTTCGAATTAGCCTAATTCAAACTACCTACTCCGTGCTGCGTGTAGCCGCGGGCACGGAGTCCGAACTACCTGGGATTTAAAAATGGCAGTGCCCTGCAAGATGCAAATGAAGCCCGGGTTATTTCAATCCCGGGCTTCATTTGCAACTTCGATTTGACTATATTAACCACCCTAGTGCGAACTAGGGTGGTAGTGTAGACATCCCCCCTGAGATATGATCACAGAACTGTGGGACTGGAAGGAACCTACATAGGTGACTGGTGAAGTTTCCACTTGGGGAGGCAATACCTTCCCAGCCTAGGCCCCACCTCTTCCCTACCCAGACCCCACCCTCTTCCCACTATCTCCCTCTTGTCTTCACTGCACAGCCTGTGTCCCTGCTCACTGCATGTTTGTCCCCTTCAAGCCAAGTCCATGAACCCAAGCAAATTATTTTTGAAAAAAAAAAACCTCCACTTTTCTGCAATTTCTTTCTCAACAAAATGGAGCATGTTCTGGAGCATGTGCCAGACATGCAGAAAGCACTTAATTAATAGCACCAAAAGGTTATAAATGTCCATAAATTGAGATTAACCTGCAATCCAGGAGCAGTGGTTACTGCATGACTATTGCATAAAGATTTTGAAATTGTAAAAAACACTGCAAAATTGCACTTCTCAGCACTTTCCTTCTGATGACATCAAAACACCAAACCAAAACCAGTGAATTCACACAAACCCCAGAGAGGCAGGGAAACATTATTATTGTCCCTTTTTTCAGATGGAGAAACTTAGGCACAGGATAATTAAGTTCCTTATCCACTGTCATTTAAAAAAAAAAAAAAAAATCAGTGGAAAACTCACTGAGACCAAGCCTTAAATGATGAGTCCAATGTCATACTGGAAGTCTGTGACAGGGAGGCCATTAAGAAAACCCCACATCTTCACATTTCTAGCAGCGGGGAACACAGGCCACTGGCTGCATTGAGGTGGGGATATCACCCTGAAACCCCGGATTCCTCCAGTACAAGAGCTCCACAGTGAGGCTGCACCTGACGCTAATGCAGTGTAAGGGCTGGCCCTGCCCCTCTCTTCCAGGCGTACCAGTTGTGGCTGGGCAGGCTCAGTCAAGCATGATTCAAGGGTGGAGGGAGTTATTGTGGGGGACCCGGTTGTGGGGCTGTCTGGATGTGGGTGGTTCAATGGGAGATCTGGATGCTCAGAGATGCCGTGGGGGTTCAGGTGTAGGGGCAATGAGACTTTGGTTGAGCTCAGCGGAGGAGTCATGGGGAGGTGGGATATGGGGTGGGGTCCAGATGCTGGAGAAGTAGGACTTCATAGGATAGGGGGTCCAGGTGCAATTTGCTGGGGCTCAGTGGGCTGGGGGTGTGGGAGCTTGTTTGATGAGTCCAGGTGTAGGGGAGCAGGGCTTGTCAGGATAAGGGTTAGAAGGGCCTGCTTAACCAGGGAGACGCAGCTACTGCTGAGGAGACACTGCATGCCGGATTCCTCTCCCCCCACCCCAATTCCTCATCTCCTTTTCTTCTCCATCTCCCTCTCCTCATTCCTCTCACTCTCCATTCCTTCCCTACTGCCTCTTCCCACACCTCCTCACCCCCCTCATTCCCCTCCCTCCCCATTCCTTCCCCCACTGCCTCTTCTCCCCATGTCCTCACACCCCCTTCTCTCATTCCCATCCACAACCATCTCCACTGCAGGGCACAGAAAACAGGAAGCCTGTGGGGAGAGGACAAGAAGGGGAGGAGACCGGGCAGCTATCTTTGCAGGGCTCATTGGGCTAGGCAACCCTCCCCCTACTCCACACATTAGCAAGGGGGATCAGGACCGTTATGGTAGCCAGCTCTCAAACCAGTTCAATTAGCCTAATTAATTGTTATATTATTTCTATTTTTTATACTTTGGAGGAATTCAGATGATGAGATGAAGGGGACTGAACAGAGTATAATAAATAGCGCCCATACGTAGATGGAAGCCAGAGCAGTTGACTGAAAGGTGTATTTTTGTCAGACTCACTGCTGTTCCTGGGAATTCAAGAGCAGACATGTGGCCAAACAGCCTCTGGAATTGCAAAACTTGGCAAAGGTGGAAATATCCAATAGATGGAGCAGTCACAACCATTAACCATGCCAGGAATTGTTTCTCCTTAACAGACTTTTCATACCTCCTCTGCCACTTGATTCTCATCCACGTGTCTATATTGGCCAGATTCAAGGAAAGAAAGGCAATTCCACCATCTGGATCATATGGGAAGAGATGTACAGCTGAAGGTCAGCAGCATACAGAGGTCACTACAGATGTCCCTGCAGTGCAAATCACTACACAATCCACCCCAGCAATCAAGTGAATACTGAATGTGAGTGGTAACAGGATCACCTCTGAGTTCTCTGAAAAAGGAAGGAATAGAACCTCTGAAAAACATCAAGTCTTGCCAGATCCCATAAGCAAGTCAGTAAGACCTTCCAATCCACCATATCAAAGCCAAGGCTGGAGCAAATAGCACATTCTTGACCTTAGTCCATCATTAGAAGAAGGTCCCTGACCAAGGATACCAAGCACACCTCCACACCATACCGCCTCCAGGCCTGAAGCACAATCCCTCAAAGCCAAAAGAACCCAGATGGCACTTGAGCAACCTGTCCTGCTTCAATAACCTTCTCCAACCAGGGAATGTTGGGGACAACATAATAAGATATATCAGTTGTGACCACATCAGGTGATGGCTTATTGTGCAAAGACTTAGCCACTGCCTGTTTACTTAATCCACAAACATAGACAACTCTTTCCAATAATAGACCTCTACTGTACCAATATAAAGGGACATGTTTCCAACTTGTAGGTATGTAGTAGCCCACCACTCTTACAAATGCATATTGGTCTGTGCATGAAACCCTTAAAACTTTTGATATTGCTTTCCATTTCCTTTTTAAAAAGAAGTGTACAAATTGCCCTGCATCTTTTTTTGTAGAAAACTTTATAAACATGTTATATGCTACAGCTCAAAAAAACTCTATACTGCTGGATTTCTCTGTACTTGCCAGCTTTTCTGTTCCACACCAAGGTGATTCATCTGAATGAATCTATACTGACAATTTTTAAAAATCACTAATATACACTGCATAGTAAAAGAATTTTTAACACAGGCAGACTATTATTCTTTGTAAGATACAGAATTGTTTTTATGGGCATTCTGGCTTCACTCCTAGAAGCTGTATGATTTCTAATATGAAATGAAAGATTTGAGAGAGAAAATTACACAGTGGGCCAAATTAATCATTCAAGGAGCTGCGGAATACATTTGAAATCACGAAGTGCATGTATACATACAGTCCGGATTGGTATATGATAGCTGCAATACTGACGCAGTATGGATGTACAAAGAGTATTTATAAGTAAGATGTAGACAATGATAAATAATTTCAATAGTTCATATATGTTCAGTGATTACTGGGATGTGAGAATCAGTTCAGATAAAATAAGAAAAAAAAACCTGGATTTTAGCCTTGCCACAAAGGAAAAATTAAAGCAAACACACACACTCCTCCCCAAGGTTGGTGGGTTGGTTGGTTTGGTAAATCATTTCCAGTTTGCCAAAGTCAGGGAGTACTGGGATCCTAGTGTTGGCTCTGTGTCGTGACAAAAATGTAGTCCCACAAGGCCCTTTACACTTAGGGGCCTTGCTCCATCAGCTCCGCTGTTCAGTCTGCACCTATGACCCTCTTCTCCTTGACCTGAAAGATGAACTGGGGAGTTCTTCCTTCTGATGTTCCCCAGGGCAAAGCACCCTGGCTGTATCCATCACCAACCCCTTCACACATGGCTCTCGAGTTAGCAAACACTTCTTCTGAATCCTCCAGCTCCCCCAGGCACAATGTGCATTGCAGAAGTTTGCCTTGGAGTGGTGCAAAACCACTCAGCCACACCTGCCAGGCTGATCCTGAATGCAGGATGAACCCACCATGTGTCACATGGTTTCCACCTTAAAATACTAACCGGTTTGCTTTAAATTCTGCCCAGGCTCACTGAGAAGTTTAGCCAAAGGGAGGTCTACGTACATCTCTGGTCCCTCAGCTTACCACTGGAACTAAACGGAACCTTTATTTCTGATTGTCTTGGAGGCATGGCAATTTAGTCTAAATGAAACCTTTAACATTATTTAAATGATAAAATGGCATAAGGGTTTTCAGAGTATATTACCTTGGGTTACAACAAATCCAATGGGTGGAGTGACACACGCTCTTAGGTTATGTCTACACTGCATTCCTCTTTCAAGAGAGGAATGCAAATGAAGCATGGATTTGAATTTCCCGTGCTTTATTTGCATAATGGCGGCTGGCCGCTTTTCCGAAATAGCGCATTTCGAGAGAAAAAACAGGGTTATTTCATAAGGAGTAAGGGTTATTTTGAAGGAAGGGTTTCTTTTCAAAATAACTGCAGTTTTTTTCTCAAAATATGCTATTTCAGAAAAGCGGCTGGCCGCCATTATGCAAATGAAGCACGGGAAATTCAAATCCGTGTTTCATTTGCAATTTCATTTGTCTGCATTTTCATTCCTCTCTTGAAGGAGGAATGCAATGTAGACATACCCTTACATATTGCTTTGAGATTTAATACCTCTCCTATCACATGGTATGTCTTCACTGCAGGGTTAATTTGGAAGATCAGTACTCAGGTGTGATCACTTTCACCCAGGTGAGGAGCGACAACACTGCAAAAGCCATGCAGGCCTGTGTCCACTCAATTACACCAAGACTGATGCTACACTTACTTGTGGACTAGATGTAGGACCACTAGGACTTCTAGGGGTTGACCCCATGGTTCTTAGGATTCCAGTAAACTGAGCCACTTGATGGGTATATGTCTACACTTGGAACTGAGGCTTGAGGAGATGTACTCATGCTAGTTCTCATTGAGCTAATATCCTAAAAAAAAAGAGTGAAGCAGGACAGGCTAGCCACCCTGAGCATTTGTAAGGGGTCTCTGAGAGGCACATGCTCAGGATAGATTGCCCATCCCATCACTGGGAACTAAAGTGAGGCGCCATTAAAAAGCAGGCCATTGGGTCTATTCAAACTTTTTCTGCAGTCTGACCACGAATGTGTATTCGGTAACATTTCTTACATTCATTGTTAAGGGGAGGGGAGACATACTGCTGGATAATGTTTATGTTTGCAGTATTTACATATGTATTGTTAACCTATAACAGTGTAACAAACCAGCTCCTCCGTATATACTATTCACCTCTCTTTGACGTATGTAGAAAATCACCTGTAAATGGTAGAAAATGATCGGTTGCCTTATGCTAATTTGTGTAGCCAATTACCAGAGATGCTTAGGATAGAAGTAATCAAGACTGTCTATAGTTCACCCAAAGACTCTAAGCAGCGAAGAGAAGCCTGGAACTATATAATGACCCTTGGAACCTGGTCCTTTTAAATCTGAGAGCTTGTCTTTATTACACGGAATATTGACGCTGCTATGGTCAACCTTCTGGAATTCTGGGGAATCTAGTAAAGGCCCACTAAATTCATGTCTGTCTGAGTGCTGATCTCTTTTTACCAATACTATATTTTTTTATTTTTTTTAAATCATACTTTTGTTTAGTTAAAAAGAATTACCTGTGTGTTTTGGATAAGATCTGAAATATTCATTAACCTGGAGGGTGATATGTCTGATCCTTTGGGATTGGTAGAACTTTCTTATATGATGAATAAGATTTTCAGTGATCCTCATCATATTTGACTTGGATGTCTAGGTGGAAGCCTAAGGCTGGGTTGCTTTAAGGGAACTGTGTTGTTGGCCTCTGGGTAACCAGTGATGTATTATAGAAACTGTTTTGTGCTACCTTGATAAATCCAAGCATTGGAATATCCATCAGTTCTGGGGATTGGCTGTTCCACTCTTTGCAGTTCACCCTAATTGAGTGGCCACATGTGGTTCCTTTGGGAACCCAGTCACACCTTCCCATTTTCTTTTGTTGCTATTGTAATTAGGCATCAAACTGCATATTCTCTGCTAATCAGTCATCAATTCAGACTCCTTCTTACAGTTAAAAAGTCCAGCAAATACCTTGCACATCATTGATGGAATCTTTCAGCAACACCGATGGGTCCCTCTTTCAAATTGCTACTGGGTGCCACTGTGGAACTGAGGAGTTGGTATGGAAAGCCATACTTCAGAACCTAAAATGAGGGTTAGGGTCCACAGCTGCCAAGAAAACTCATTTCATCTTAACAGAGCTTAGTTGCCTTTTCCACTGTATCAGCCTCCAAATACAGTTTTACAGTTCTCAAAATTTAAGGTTAACTATATACTTTTTTAGCAAATTAAGCAATTTTACTGACAACAGGAAATGCAGATGCTGTCAGCCAGCTAGAGCATTTTTATTAACTAAAACTGAACCAAGCCAGAGGACTAATTTATAACCTCGAGGCTGTAATAAAAGTCTATCCAATTCCGAGATTAAAATACCTCTACAAATTCAGGGTTAGCTCTGGACACTTGTATATTAATTTTTTCTGTAGGGGAATGGTTAATTAAGGATGACCCCAGATAATTTTGACTGCAATTGTCTTAGATATATCTGACTTAAGGGCATTCATTCAAATAAACCTGGATAACAAAAAGGAAGTTAAATGAAAAAGCTTTTAATTTACAAATATGTTACATGGTTGTGGGAGTTAAGTTTTATCCTTAGGAAAATGGTGCTTTTTTATTTCATTGCTGTCTTAGGGATAATTTTTTTTCTGCTGTTAGTGCCTCACATTGGAGATCTCTTATTGTACATTCAGATGTTTAGAGAAGTACAATGTATCGAATGGTGATGCACAATCAGGGGAATACTCTGACAAGCACATAGTCTTATATCTGTTCGTTATAATTTCAAGCTTCAGAAAACACGTACACTGTTGTTCAAATGGTTCTATTAAAAATATGGGGTACAGGAATGGAGCCTGAGTCCATATGTCAGGAACTGTTATCACTGATGTGGTCCAATTACAGAAAAGAGACTGAAGACTGGTAATTCACAGTTAATTTAGCTGAACTGGCTGCCATAACAGCTCTGTTCTGGTCATCCCTTTCTTTGTTCCACTGCATCCCAAACCAAACAGTGTAACCCTCCCCAACACTACCTGCATCATGAGATTGTTACATCATCTTTAAATATTATTACTTTTGGTGTTTTACTACAGTGCCAATAATTATAATAAAAACAATAACGTAAAGT